TTCGCTACTTGAACTATCAATCTCGATGAGTAATTCGTTCCAAAAAAACATTGCTATATCCATTAAAATAAAAATTGAGGTAACCCAAGAATCTTGTATACAAAAATACAAATCAAGTCAACGCGCCAAAGCAAATCAAAGTGACAGTTGATAGAATAAAATTGTCCCGAAAAAAACGTTCGTTGGTGCTAACCATAAACTGAAAAGTAGTTACCAGTCCGGTGAGTCTGGGCGATTAACGGAACATACGCTGATTTGAAACGTATTCATCGTGATTCAAAACTAGCGTGAGGTTGGTTTTGAAACGGAATTTGATATTATGTCATGTCAGTTGTCAGTTTCTGCTTTATTTTGATCGTTATAGTAGAAAATTGAAAAGTTTGTTTTTCATTGAATTTGACATCTGACACAAATAGAATCATTACACTCTGGCGAATCTTATTATATTATATGACGTAACTACGAATCGTTTTTGAGTGTGTGAATACACGCCACGAATACGATTAAACCATTGTCTAAGAAGGATTTACGCCAGAAATCACCTCAGATGGCTCGTTGTTAGCGAAAATAATGATATCATGAGTGACGTTTTCGAAGCAACCACAACGACTGCGGTCATTATGTGGAATGGTTATATTAGCATTTTGATTGTTATGAGCGCTTAGTGGAACGATCGGCTTGTGAGCTAGTGCTATAATTACGCTCAGAGTAATAAAAAATGCTCTGAGATAATTACGTATCAGAAAATGTAAACATGTGAAGTTTGTTCGGCCAATGTTTTATAAATTGTGAATGCATTTTGTGATCACGCATAATGTAAAAAGAGGTATGGCCAAGACAGGCACATGTGTCACATTTTTTTATGTAAAAAAGACGACATCACAAACACAAGGGTGGGTGGTAAGTCCAGTGAAAGAGTCTCAAAAATAAATTGTTCAGCTCAGGAGGTTTTTAGCGTGTTTCATACGAACATACGAAGTTTGCTTTAAAAAATTTATGAAATTAATACATTTCTAAACGATTATAAACTCGATATTTTTTGCTCAACTGAACATCGTCTTGGCGATGGTAACTTGAAAACTATAAATATCTCTACTCATTTCTTATCTGCTGAGTTGTGTACACAAAAATACAAACATGGTGGCGTTGCCATTTTCTGTAAAAATGTCGTTAGTATACCCAACAATTTGATCTAGGTAATTTCAATGTTGAACTCGATTCTGAATTTTGTGGTATAGTTTTACAATACCTGAATACTTTCATTATACTTTTATCTAGATCTTTTAGAGGATACGTCAATGTTTTTCTGACGAACCTCAATACTCTATCATCTCGACTCATGAAACAAAACAAAAATATGTTGGTGACTTCAATATTGTATTTATTTTTCAAAGTCGGACACATTTTTCCAATTGAAATACTTCTAGAATCGTATGGAATGAATTCTAGCTCATGAACATTTTCGATCTGTATTTATTTAGCGTATCATTATGTAACTACTGTCAATGTATATTTTTGTCGAATCGTTTGCGATCCATTAAAATGTCGAATACTTTCCGAAACACTACAACCATGAAAATTCTACAATATCTACAGAATTATTGTATCATACCAGATATAGGCTCTAACAGTCAAAAGAATCCTCGAATTCAGATTTGTACAATCGTCTAGTCTAGATCTTTTTGTGAAATCTTTGAATTTCAGAAGTTTCTAACCAACTATCAAAAAATTCTTGACTATAGTTTTTATACAGTCGAAGAATACGAGTATATTGACCCAGCTGGGCTATTTATGATATAATTTTGCTGTGCATTTGCTGTGAAGTGGTCGTTTCAGGTGACGCCGAATCACCAAGTTACCAACAAACAGTGTTGTTTACAGCTCACGCGTTTTATTCATACTCGCAGTTCTTGCTGGTGTTTAATGTCTTGCATAATGAATAACATTAGTGGGGAATTGTATGTTCCTGGCGATATTGAAGATTCTGCAAAAAGAGCTTCAATTGAATTGTTACCATAAAATCGGTTCAGCAGTACGACATCGCATATTGGGTAGACTTAAAACCGTCGAAGGAAATTTCAGCGAAACCGTCTTCTTAGCCTATCTAGAAGAGAAATCAAAAATTTGGAACTCGTCAACTTTGTGGAGCAAGTTTTCAATGATAAAGTCGAGTGTGCTCATTAAAAAGGGTGTTAATACAAGCAAACATATCGAAGTAATAGCATTCTTGAAGCGAAAAAATTAAACTTATAGGCCCAAAAAATCAAAAACTCTAACGTTTGAACAGGTCCAGAGGTTTATAAATGAGGCGCCAGATGAAAAATATTTGATGATAAAGGTCTCTGCCTACTATACCGTACCAAACTATGACCGTAAACGTACCGGCAGGTGCTAAAAAATATTCTTTCATACGATGAACCAACGTCCACTAGACCGTTCCGTTACAGGTCCGGCACGTAGCGTAGCATGCACGTGCCACGACAGTATTCGAGTCGAGAATATTTTGCCGGTGCTGATACGCAACGTGCATGGTACGTTACGTTGCTAAACCGCAGATCTCCGGCAGCGAAACGGTGTATAAACGGGTTGTAAATCATTTTCAATTTTATTCAGCAATACATTCCATTGAAATGTAGATAATCCCATAGTCATATTCGTTCTTCGTGGTAAACTCTTTTACACGTTCATACTTCACTGATGAGTAAGCTGGAATAACATACAATACTTCACATTAACTACAGTTGTCAAACGGGTATCTAACGGTCATCATTCACGTATTATACGGTCATTATACGTGTTGCTTACGGGCTTAGAACACTGTGATCCATTACTGTGGGCAAGGTAGACCGTGTCGTGTTATTTTTCGTGTCTGATACGGTCCTAGCACGGTCATGGTTTGGTATGGTATAGTGGGCAGAGACCTTTAAAGTGTCCACTATTTTCGGAATATATGGAGTCTGCCGGCGTGAAGAGCTGTGCCATTTATTAATAGAAGACATTAAATTAATGAATAAATCATTGACTGTTCAAATTACAAATACAAAAACGAAAATAGGTCGTTCTTTTTGCTTTGTTGGAAAAATATTGACTAATACGTTGCATTACGCCCTTCTCTTATCAATCATCAAGATTTTTTTCTAAAATACTCATCATAAATGCAGTGTCAACCCAGTTGGTATAAACAAGTTTCTGAACCTCTCGGAACCAAAGGAATATACAGGTCACTGCTTCAGAAGGTATTCTGTTTCTTTGTTAGCAGATTCAGGAGCAAATATAACGGATATTTAGAAGCACGGAGGATGGAAGTCTACAACAGTAGCTGAGGGTTACATCGTTCAATCTATCTTTTATAAAAAGGTTATTGCTGAAAGAAAGCATCGTCCTCTTCACTTCAAGAAACAAATGTTAATGCCCATGAAGTTGTCAGCTCAGCTAGTTTAAATATATGACAAGGCTCTTTAATATCGCCAGGTATTAATATCAGCAGTTATTCTAATTGTACTTTTCATATCAATGTTCATTAATAACATTGTAATAATTGTGTATAATACATTTGTAACAGAATTTAATTGTATCTATATGTATTGTTATAATAAAACTTCCTTGCAAATTGAATAATTAGGTTTGTTTATGGCTATTTGGTCGAAAAAAATCCTGTTAAAAATAATTTCAACACTAGTGTTGAAAATATTTATAACACATTACTTTGTAAACATCATCTTTTAATACTCTTGACAACCATTAAAAATGTCATTGTCAATGACAGTTGTACAAAAATTGAATTTACCTACATTGTATTCAATATGGTCAATAAATTACTCCCCTGTACTCTACTTTATTCTGGTTTCGGGTATATTCTGTATGCTATTAGATCTGATATTTCGACTGAAAATGCGGTATACATTATCAAAGGCGATATAGCAGTGGTCGAAATGCTCTTCCTTTCTACGATGCGTACAATGAAAGAAAGAAAGACATTGCCACAAATTTCATTATTTCTCACGCTCATTAATTTTCACAATTAAAATCTAAAATTAGGCTTGTCATCAATCGCCATATATAAATATCATTGAACTTTCAACTTCGTCTTGTTCAGTTAGATATTTTATAATTGAATCCACCATTGAACTCATATTCACATGGAAATCCTCGACAACTGCAATTTCAACTTCTTCAGTTAATTAACAGTTGTCAAAATCATAGTAAAAAATTATCTAGTTTTGAAAAATGTCGATGTTTCAAAAGGTATTGCTTTTAGTTTTCAAATAGAAATTTCTCTCCAACAAGTCGATTGTGTGATATTGTCTTTTTTCAGACTAACTCGGCCATTAAGTTCTTAAGATACAGTGAAAGAATTGTTTTTGGGAAAAAAGACCTTCAGTATAAACTCAGTTACAATTTCTTGTGAATATTTATAAAGAATAACAATTTTGAAAAATAACTCAACATTCATATACAGAAGTGGATCTAATCAAAAAAATAATTCATAATTTAAAACGCAATTGAACTTATTACAGAATCTACAATATTTACATTGTAAAAAAATAATCCTTGACTACGATAACAAACCGATCTGGTCCCGCTGCTAATGAATGGTGGCTTTTTGCCAAAACACCAGATGGAAACTTACATTTATAACAAAAAAATTAATCGTTGTTTTACTTATCTAATTTATTATTTTATTTGCAGATTTCATCGCACGAACAACGTTATATCCGGACCAGCTCCAGATGTTCAACTGATCAGTACACCACTACGACTTATATCAGACGCATCAGAGAAAGTGTTTATGAAGTATTGGAATACGGTGAAGGCACGATAAAAGTTTCTTCGAGTGTGCAATACAATGACTTAGTATGACAAAGATGAATAAGATGGAAACATACAAATTCGTAGTTATTCTCTTGTCGTATTGTGTATGTTCGGCATCAGGATATCCTGCCAAGCCCCTGAACGAGAGATCACCTGAATTAACTTGGGAAGCCTGGCTTCTTGTGGACGATCAGAACCAAAACAAGCAACTGATAAATTCTGATGGAATGCTGAGAAGGCGAATTACTCCAAAGTCCATATTCATTGCTCCAACGTTCAGTCCTGAGTCTCTGCCTGCTTGTGCTGAAGGATATAGTTCGGACTTGATGGGTCGTTGTATTAAAATAATTAAGCTGGATCAGGATGCTCATTACGAATTTTTAATTGAAAAGTTGAAGGAAAAGTTCAGCTCGGCAGACTATGACGATTATTATGATGAAACGGTTACAACCGCTGGCCCTTTGCAGGTAAATATACCGTTAGAGATCAATAGTGGATTAGTCGAAAATGACGAGAGTGATGAAGAAACTGATATTGCCATAATAGTATCTCCCACGAAAACTTTTTTTGACCAAAAAGTTCTCAATTTGGACAAAAGAGAGAGCATGGATGATGGAAAGAAACAAGAATTGTACCTGAAAAATATAGCAAAATCTACAATAAACAGAGAAAATGAACCCGTTAATAGTTTGGTGGTGACAGAACCAGTTTCACCCACAACAGTTGATAACGAGGAAACCACCAAAGTAATTGAGACTGAGGGTTTAATTACATCTTCCACTTTTGATACGACTACTTTTGAAGCAACTACAGTAGACATGCTGGATCTGGAACAACAGGATAGTACCAATTCGAACGTGGAAGTGATGACAACTACAGAAAATTATTCAACTGTTCCTGTAGAAACTACAACTCAACTGCCTTCAGTATCGTCTCTCAAACCAGGTATTTTGCCTCTTTCACCTCCCTTCAAGTGGCGTTTTCCCAATGACAAAAAAGTTCACTCTAATCATGTGAAATTCCCGGACAATCATGAGTCAGTTGTATCTCGAATGTCAACAGAGGATTCTCGTGGAAGAAGTGTAGGAATCAATCATCAAGATTTCTCGAGACAATCCGATGATCCAGTGGTTTTCCGTGAAGCTGTCGGTTTAGATTCCAACAGTGGGCATCCCGTACCTGCAACAACCCATCGAAATTTCAACAGGAGGAACCGTGACAGGCATAATGGTCTTTTTTCGCCAAGGTGGAGTCAAAGCACCTTCCACAAACCTGTAGTTTTGAGATTTTCAAGAAAAAGTGCCTATATTGATACCAATCAATTTAAAAATGAGGAGTACTATAGATCGATTCCTACAGATGATTTAGCTTATTTATTCAAATTCAAGCATAAACAACCTTTTCATTAATTAATGTTTAGGTATACCGCTTTGATGTGATTTCGTTGTATATAGTTATTTATTATTGTATATAGAGAGCATAACAGTTGAATTAGGTCAGTTTTGGAGAATTGAGACAATGTAATTGTGAGGTTAACTATTAATGTGGTAAGAACAGTAAAGGCAACAAAAAGTTTGTATCCATGTCATCCTTGTCATATTTGCCTTAGTGAAAATCTACCAGATTGATAAAATGGTGCAAACTGTAAAATTGTTTTACTTCCGAACTAAGGCTCAGCTGTTAAAAATTATATTCCGGCAAATGTTTCAAGTGTGTATGTGATACTAATTTATGTAGTGAAATAAATTGTCTGCTTCTTATATCAATCCCAAATTAGATTGTTTCATTTTATTATGATAAAGAGTGGAGAAGAATTCACATGAATATTTTCTAAATTAATAGATTGATTGTTACGAGGTAAAACGTCAAGTTGGATAGTGGCTGATGTACTGACCTCATTCAATTCAAATGTTTTTAACTGTAGATATTAGTTACTAAGTAAATGCAAGTGTAAACATCTATGGAGTATTTTCATTTTTGTCATATTTATTTTGATACAGATTCGGTTAGCTCGTAATTTCAAAAAAGTACACATATTTGTCTAATAGACTCTCTAAAATAAAATAGTATTAAAACATTTCTTCAAAATAAAAAGAGGTTTTAAATACTTATTTTCCCATTTCCATGATTGCATGAACAATTTTTTAATGACCATGTTTCTTTCATTTCAAAACTCAAAATATACAGGGCTATTCGAGCTTGAGTCTATGCATGGTAAGAGATTGAAAGTCGGTTGAACTCTGAAAAATTTGACAGTTTTCAAGGACTAAAAAACCAAAACTAGCTCTTTTGAATCCGGAGATAAATAGGAAAAGTCGAAAATTTTGAGAAATCATATATTTTTTTGTATCATTTCTATTCGCATTTATATTGAAAATATGTTTAGACTTTGCCACTGGAACATTCATTCATTTCAGAATATGGTCATATATTTTTTATTCAGGCGCCCTCAACTTTGAAATTTTGATTACGAACGTACATTTTTTGTAGCAAATTTTGATCTTTTATGTTCATATAATATCGTAATCATATAATGCCATATTCAATGTTTCTTCNGGTTTGATAATGAAGATAGCTAGAGTATCCGAAACGTCACCAGATAAGTATACAAATAGAATAGGTTTCTGCGGTTAGAAATTTCAACATCTGAATTTCGGGTTGAACCGCGCTCAGTTTCGTATTTTTTTTGTGACGTTTTGGCTTCGACTTTGAAGCCATTTTCAAGAAGTAGGAAAGTGTGACTGTACTAAGAGGCACACATTAGAGTTTTGATGTTCTGGTCTTGCCAAACCTTCGAGATGGTATGACCCCTATTGACTCATATTTCATTCAAATGAAAAATAGATTTGCCAAGTGTTCAGGCTTTCTTTATTTTTGATTTTTCTTCCAACATGCTCTTTCAATCTTCTTTTTCAAAAATGAAGTTCAGCTCTCTTGATATCTTCCATAATCTGATTCTTCTTATATCACGAAAAAAGTTTTTTTTTGACTCCTCCAAGCTCTTTTTCAAATTTTGTTTCAGTCCCTTCAAGCTTCTCATCGACTACTTTTTCCAAACCCTTCTTTCTTTCTTGAAATACTTTTCAAATTCTTCGTGAATCAATTCCTGTACCTCACCTTTACTAACTTGGGAACATGTTGTATTTTTCTTGTTTCTCCTGATCATTTACGAAATTCCTCTCTGTCACTATCTTTTTTTTCCAGAATATGCACCAGCAAGTCTGTTTTTTTCCTGTTTTTCCAGAATATTCAGGAGTAATTCACGATCTTAATTTCGGGGTAATCGTTCATCTTCTT